AGCAATAGATATCAACACCCTTGCCACTATAGATACGTCAAAAAGTTTCTGCATCAGTTTGTACCAGTTACACCGTGGACCTCTTGCAAGGCTAAAAGCATTTTCAAACAAATGGATTGATAGGAGGACACTTCTGCAGATCGTCTAGTCCAACCCCTCAACTCAGAGCTGGGTCTCACACAGCAGGTTGTTCAGGGCCAGGTCCAGTTGGGTTTTGAGTATCTCCAAGGATGGAGCCTCCACAAATTCTCCAGGCAACCCGTTCCACTCTGATCAGCCTTTCAGCAAAAAAATATGCTTTTCTTTCTTACATTTAAATGGAACTTATTGTATTTTAATTAATGTCCTTTGCCTCTTGTCCTGCAACTGGATACCACTGAGAAAAGCCTGGGTCCCTCTTCTTTACTCCCTCTCTCAGGTAAAAATAGAGTAGAGTAGAGTAGAGTAGAGTAGGATATTTTCAGTTTGAAAGGACCTACAGTGATCATCTAGTCTTACTGCCTGACCAATTCAGGGCTGAGCAAAAGTTAAATCATGTTATTAAGGGCAGTAGTCATTATCTGGGAATGAAAAACCTCTGGAGCTGCAAATGTAAGATGAGTTTATTTCTAGACTGAAAAAGCAGCATTATTTGCATTTTGAATATCAGTGACTATGACCTCCTTGTAGATAATGTGTCTTGTCTCTTTGCCTAGGTCACAAACTGCTAATTGTATCTGACCTGAGCCTGCCGATTCAGACTTGGTGAGGAGGGCAATTAAACCAGTTAACTGCCTGTCAACAGGTTTCATGCTACATCTCTTACTACCTATTGTCCCCCAGCAAGCATCAAGGTACAAAAACATCATAAAAAATTCTCCAAGTGATGGGTAAGTTACCAGGTCATGACAACCACTCTTGACCAGCACTGACTTGAATCACAGAATCCTAGAATCCTACAGTGATTTGGGTTGGAATCATCCAGTTCCAAACCCCCTGCCATGGGTAGGGACACCTTTCACTAGACCAGGTTGCTCAAAGCCCCATCCAAGCTGGCCTCGAACACTTCCTGGGATGGAGCATCCACAACTTCCCTGGACAACATATTTCAGTGTCTCACCATCCTCACACTAAAGAATGTCTTCCTCACATCTCATCTAAATCTACCCTCTTCCAGTTTGAAACCATTCCTCCTCATCCTACTACTACATGCCCTTGCAAAAAGTCCCTCCCCAGCTCTCCTGCAGGCCCTTCAAGTTCCAGAAGGCCACTACAAGTTCTCCCCTTAGCATTCTCTTTTCCAAGTTGAACAACCCCAACTCTCCCAGCCTTTGTTCACAGGAGAGGTGCTCCAGCCCTCTGGTCATCTGGCACTGTGCACCCCATCACACCTCTCTCCTCTGATTAGACCAGGGATAAATGCTTGCAAACTTATATTTGCATTGCATGAGCATGAGACTTGGCACTGTTCCTTCAGCCACAAGAGGGAGTCCCTGTTACAGGGAAAGTGGAGACGAAGGGATTTGAGGTCAAATTCTTCCTTCAGACCACACTGCCTTTGGCCTTTATTCAGACAAAACTACAATATGTACCAACGGCCACAGTTGATGAGCATGAGATTTTTGCAAGATTAATGAAAGCAGAACTCACAGCTTTTGTTAATGTTGGAAAAAAAACAAGACTTCTGTGCTGTGAGAAACTATTGTAGTAGTTCTGGCAGCAGCCAGTATCTTCCAGGGAAGCCAGAAAGAAATACTACTACTTTTTAATGTCTGTATCTAGATGTGCAACTGTGTGTGCAGGGAAGGAAACTTCTAAAGCCTGCTGCTATACTAAAATATGGGGCCAGTATTGAAAATATTGAAGCATTTGGGGTCTCCTGCTTGTTTCTCCTCAACTTTGGCATGATGACAGTTCTACGTAGGAGGACTCACTGAGGAAACTGCATGAGCACAAATGATGAGTAATCCAGCCAGCAGAAATAAAACCAAAGATTGTATTGCACCCAGGCAGTTAAAGAAAACACTACCAGCAGATGCTGTATGCAGTATCTGAGAACTGTTCTCTAGTGAGCAAGTTCAGTACAAAGCCTGAACATTTTCATGATACTGGAGAATAAGCAAATCAACAGGATAAAATCTGATTGCTTCCAAAACTCGACTGCAGACCACAAGCAGTCCTTTCAGTGGCTGGTTTGGGCTTGGGTTCAGCCCACAGTTCATACCAGAAATGACAAGAGCGTGGCCAGAGAGTGCTGCCTGTGTATGGTATCCAGGGGTCCAGTAATATGAGGGAGACAGGAAGGAGGTATCCTCTAGGATTAAAACAGCTGTGATAGTGAAGGTGTACGTTAGCATGTCCGTGGCCTTCTCACATGATTTATAGCATGCAGTTGCACCAGTACAGCTAAATGGGGGCTATACATTTCTGGCTGCTGTTAAAGCTATCTGTGATATCTAGAAACGTTACAAAGTCCATATTCACATCAATAATCCCCCTTTTTTCCAAAACCAGACATCTATTGCAATTTGAAATATAGAACTCTAAAATGTAGTTACTAGTCACACTAACTACTGCAGTAGGTCAGATTGCTATTTAAAAAAATAAGTTAAAAAAAAAATTGTCAGAGATGGAACTCAGTGGCTTTGATAACAACATAAAGGAATGTCCATGATTTTACTGAAATCAGAGCTTTTTAAACAAATGCACATGTTGATGTAAAATTACAGGGCAAGAACTGACACTATGGACAAATTTATGAAGAAATTAGAAAATTTCTAATCAAGACAGGGAAGTTCCCATGGTGAGACTATTGGTATGGACAGCCCTAACTGACTATAGGACACAGCTGGCTCAGATCACAAGCCTGCCCAAGTTTCTGCAGTTCCCTATTCCTACTCTTTTTCTTTGATTAAGTGCAGCAAAGACCTCACATGATGCAAGAGCCAAGGCCTACATCAATGATGAAAGAGCACAGGATGAAAGATACTGGGCTCTCTGATGTATCCTAAAGGCACCTGCTTTATTATCAGAAAGCACCAGTGGCAGAAGTGGTTGGTTCCATGACAAACTGCACTGAGCTTAGCAGGGTCAGAAAGGAGGATTCCCAGAAAAGCACCTACATTTAATTCTCATTTCAGGAATCTCCTGAATATTTCAGGTATAGGTAAATGAGTGTATTTTTTCCTTTTTCAGTCCTCTCTGTCTCAGATAAATTTGCCTCTTACATAAAATAAAACAAAACAAAAAAAAGGGTCCTATTATACCAAAGTCATTTTATCTGAAAGAAAGGGAGCTCACAGCTACAAAGGTATTAAACACAGTTGGATTACGAATAGCACAAAATGTCATGCTTTGTAAAAGCAAGATACTATCATGAGTCTGTGATTTCTTTAAAAAGCATCCTTGAAAGTATTGCTTGAACAAATATTCCCATGACAGATTCAGACTGCGTTGTGAATGAAAACATGGCTGGACACATGTTCATACAAAGTGGCTTTTACATCTTCAGCACCCCAATGTGAACACAAAATCATAAGAAAAAAAGGCTATTAGGCTGCAAAATAATTTCAGTTTTAAATATTGAGTGTATATTTCTTTAATAAACTAATGTGTGCTTCTAGAAACTGGTACATGATCTTGCAGAAGTTTTAGGATTTTATTATTTGCAAGAAAAAAACCCTTTTCCTCACTAAACCCACTTCAGGTATTTCATGGAAAATGTGAACTTAAGTCTCTGCACGCTTGGGCCATAATTCTCCACCTGCCCATTTCCCTTCAAATGCTGCACATCAGCTTCTTCATACAGCACTGGACATCCGAGGCCAAGAGAAGTTCAAATACATGCAAAATGTGTACAACCTTGTTTTCATCAGCTCAATGTCAGAAGACATGGCAATTGTCTTTTTTAGGGCAATGACCAGAAGAGTTCTGTCACCTGGCCAAGGTGTGAGACAGCCCTAGGAGCTCATCCTGGAGTGCTGGAAATGTCTGTCAGAGAATTACTGAGGACACGAGGTGGCTGGTGCCACAGCAGTGATGGGTACGTCCCAGCTGAGATACACTGGCTGCTCTGCATCCTCTCTTGGGTGGAGAGCTGGGTGTCCCCAGTGCCTGCAGGGGCCCGAGGCACTCCTTATACCATGCTCTGCTTTTCCCTGAGGGGCCAGGGATCAGAAAATCACTTCTCAGCCCTAAGATGCTGTTGCAGACCTGGCCCAGGGAATCCACCCCTGCAGCAGAGGGGGCTGCTTGGGGCGTTGCAGGGCTATCTGATGTGATGGGCTGAGCAGAAGGGTGAAGGTTGTACCTGGGACTGCCCATGCTGGCCCTGTGAGCCATTTGTACCCCTCCATGCAAGCTGCCTAGGCTCATCTCCACGTCTTACCCACATGCTCAAATCATCTGTTTTGGTTAACCCCAAGAGATTTCTCAATGCTTTTCTAAGATCTTTGTCCATCCTATAAATTGGTATTTTTCCTTTTCCCACCTCCCGTGTAGTTCTAGCTACGTGAACACAGCCTCACACTTTACAGGATTTCTGGCAAAATGTACTTGTGACCCAGGATTAGCACTATTCACACTGGTTGTGCCGGCAGTTTCC